TGCTGATCCATGGTGACAGATAAGATCTGTTAGTAATACTGAGGGCTCATTTGGCTGTTCTCATAGGAAACCTGCCCCAAACCCCTGCCTCACAGCGTATACAAACATGAGTCCCAATAGATGAGAGACTTGCATATAAAAGGGAGCACTGCAAAGTTTCAGGGTAAAAATATGTTAATCTGTGCAGTCTCCAGGAAGAGAAAATTTCTTGAACCTAACATAAAAGCATAAGCTTTAAAAGATGGAGAAATAGGACCTTTGAGAGGATATCTGCAGCAATAACTGACAGAGGATTAATGTTCAGAGTTTTTAAAGAATTCCTCTGACTCAGTAAGAAAAAGATAACCCAACTGGGGGGGGGGAAGGGAAAAAAAAAATGAATCCAAAATAGCAGAAAAAAAAAAAAAAAAGCCCATAAGCATGTAAAAAGATGATCCGTGTTTGGTCATCTGGAAAAGGGAAACGAAACCTCCAAGAGACACCCTTTGACCCTGACCGGGACAGGTGGTCCCAGGCAGGACGCTGCTTCCCAGGGACGGAAACCCCAGCTCCTCCCTGCTCCCTTCTGCCTCCAGTTCAGGAGCCTGTGTGTGGGGTTTCCGTGTGCCGCCTTCACTGGCCCAAGATACCGCCCCTCTTGTGTGGCAGCACTGTGGTGTGGAACCCCGATGAAGGGCACTGGTCTTTGTGGGGTCCTGTTTGCTCAAGGTCCAGCGTCACACCAGGCTCTGGTTTAGTTGAGACCAACCTGGGTTCCGGCTGGGGCTCACTCCATGATCCTGGCAAACTGCACGGCCCTTTAGGGCCATTTCCCCAAGTGTGAAGTGAGGGGCTGGGGCCATCCGGGTGAAAGTGAGGTTCCTTCGGCTCCGGAAGGCCAGGTTTCTGTTAGACACACCTACCTGTGTCACATGAGGTGGATTCTGAAAAGCAGAAGCACCGTCTGTCCTATCCCTGCTCCTCCCATGGGCAGACTCCGAGTCTCGCCCAGTGCTCAGTTCACGCTGGGTCCTGTCAGCTCGAAAGGGACTCCTCGGACACCGCAGTCGGTTGTGGACGCGTTGAGCACATGGACGCGCGTCACGTGCTGTTGAGGACGCGGAGGTACCGCGCTCCCCGCTTCCCTCTGAGCGTGCGCCTGGTTAAATGCCATTTGAGGACACTCAGTATCATCATCCTGTCCGGCGGGGTTTCCAAAGATAGATTCTCAAGCGGAAGCAGGTAAGGGGGAACCCGCTTGCAGCAGGCGTGTGATGCGGAAGTGGTACTTTGATTCCCATGTTAATTATTTTCCTGCTTATAAATGTTAGGTTCTTAGCGCTGTTTTCTCCTCAGGCTGAGGCAGATAAATATGGAAATTCCACCTCTCATCACTAATTTCATTTTAACTCACTCCGGAATACGGTGTCTGAAAAGGCACGGAGTTAAGAATCTATTCTGTGCACATGAACGGATGCCGTCTCGCTTTCCGGCTGGCTGTGTCCCCAGCTTGTCCGTTTCACCCTGGTGACGGATGTCCTTTGCCCCATTGGCTGTGCTTTGTGGAGGTCCGTTCCAAAGCTGGCTCCCAGACCTGCTGGCTGCTGCGCCTTAAAAGTGCAGTCTCACTGCCACTGCTCTGCTCCCAGGACCTTGCTCCAGCGGCCACCTCTGTCAAAACACCTTTAGTGTTTGGCGTCTCCGTCTTGGCGACTGCCCTGCACACCCCCCTTTCGTAATGAGGGATGCAGCATTGGTCATCCTCCCCAGGTGGACGACCAGGGATGGCTCAGGCCAGGATCTTGTCTTAAAGACGCTGTGGCCATGCTTCCAGCTGCCTGGGGCTCACGGTGCCTCCACATGTGGGGTGGGCATCTGGCACTGAGACCCACGTCTGTGCCGCCTCCTCCAAGGCTCCCGTGTGCTTGAGACACTCCTGCTGTTTTCCGTTAGTTCCACACGGCTGCCCCTTTCCTTGAGAGCAGTTGCTTCCTATTAACCCAGTGCCGCATCGGAACAGTTTCCCTTCAGGCATTTCCATGTCATTCTGCAAAGATGTGAACATGGCAGTGTTGGGGGTTTGAATTTACAGGCTGTTATGGTGCCAGCCAGGCCCAGTGGCACACAGCGAGAACAAGCAGCAACCCCGTGTGGTGGAAGAAGAAACCTGTCTGGTCTTTGTCCTCGTTCCTGGCAGGGAGCTCTTAGGATCCCGGGAACTTCCTGAGTGTCAAGAGAGCCTCTGGTTACTCCTAAGGGGGTGCTGCTCATGGGCTTCTGAGATCATGCTAGGGAGGTGGCTTAGGGCAGGACCCCTGGGTAGCCTCGGGATGGGGCCAGTCACCAGGACCCAGAGGCGAGCGGGACAGAATGTTCAGCCGCACCTGCTGCCCCCAGCGGTGCTGAGACAGGGGGCCGGGCACTCAGGACCCCTCCCGGCCCTGCCTGCACGTTGCTGTTTATTTGCATCCTTTACAGTAAATCCGTCAACATGGTAAAGTGTTTTTTCTGAGTTCTGTGAGCCCTTCTAAGCAAATTGTAGGACCTGAGAGGGGCTTGTGGGAACCCCTGATTTATAGCCAACCTTCAGAAGTCCAGGACTTGTGTGTGAAATGGGGGCTGCCTATAGGCCTGAGCCCCTAGGCTGTGGCGTGTGTGCCAGCTCCAGGCAGTTAGTGACACAGTGGGACTGGGTCACCGGACGCCCAGTGGTACCAGTTGGCTGGTGTCAGAACCACCCCGCCCATCAGTGCACAGGACTGGACACGTAAGTTCATGGTCTGGTTTACGCGGGGAATCCACGTGCCCTTAGTGAACAGCATTCTTCTTGGTGTGCCCGCTAGTGTGAGTGTGTGATCAATGTCTTCTGGAAGGCTAGGTGGGACATGGCCCAGCCCAGCGCCCAGAGAGGTGGGTGAGCCAACACCCACTGAGCTGCACCGTGACCTGAAACACGAGTGATGCTTGTGGTTACGGGAACACCGCAATATCGTAGCTTACAAGTCAAATCGGTTGCACTGAGATCTGTGTCTTCCTGCTTCAGTGTAGTTACAAGTAACCTGTAATTAGGCCTCATTTATGAACTTGGTGCCAGAGGGAATCCCCTTTCAGGCTCGGGCATAAGCGGCTCACTTCCAGACTCAAGAAGGTCTTCGCGTGAGCCGGACTCTGGCCCCACTGCTGCTGCTAACCACCAGGAGGCTTCTTGATTTCCAGACTTGTGGTTCCAGGGCCTTTGCTGAGATGGACGCGATGGGTGGGCATTGAGCTGACCACGGTGGGGCAGTTCTTGCAGGAGCTGTTGCAGAGCCCTCAACAAGGCGGTTCCCCACCCACTCGAGTACCCTGCTCCTGCCCTTCCCATTGGAAAACTACAGCTACATTCAGATCTTCAAAAGTGCCTTCTGCTGTTTCTGAAAGTATTTATAGTGGGATTTGGGTTAAATATATATACACACACAATGAGCATTTATTTATTTTTAGGAAAAAAGGCTTGCAAGGTACTTCCCGTCACTACCTGGGATGTCTTTCTGAGTTGCAGTGAAGTTTCTCTTGAGGCATGGCATTAGGGTTACAGTCTGGGGTCCAGGCCATCCCCTCGGCTGTCGTGTTCTTTGAGAAAGCCCTGGAATGTGTGAAGACTGGGGAGGATTGCTCAGGTCTGGTGGTTGCTTCTAAGGTGTAACCGTGACCTGCCAGCCTTTCTCCTACTCCGGAAGCAGAACTGCCTTGCCCCCAGATATGCCCAGTGTCTTACTTCTGTTTCCAAACCTTTAGAGCTGCTACTTGGAAGGAGCTGCTGCTTGGTTGGAGAGGTACCCGTGGTTTTTGGTTGTTGTCTTAATTTCAATTTTTATTTCTGGCCCCCACGTTTGGTCTCTGCATTGCCCAAGAGCAGCCTCGCCTGTGAGCTGCCGCAGGTCCACGCTGGCCTCACATGTTCCAGCTCTAGCGTTGGATGGCTTCCGATCCCAAGAGTGCTCTTCAGTCTTCAGGGCCATTGCTTCCGCCCTTGGATACTGAACATCTCCAAGGACAGGCAGGGCTTGGCTCTGCTGGGAATTACCTACTTTAGATAAAAAGTGGGCTTTTTTTTGGCAGTCATTTGACCTGATGTGAGTAGTTTTTGTCATGTTTTAAAACTTCTTTCTGCAGAAATCCATGGCTGCCCTGTGAAGCTGGTGCTCTCTTCCTTCACTGAGTAAGGAAAGTGACCTCCGCGTGCAAGTCTGTGATGAGATGCACATTATTGCAGGGCATTTTACACCACTTGCCAGAAGCTAATTTTAAAAGAAAAGTGTGATTCCTGGAAATCTTGCCAGAGTTTTCTTTCCTTTCTGCTTGGGAGAATATAGAAAAATCCCAGGCAGTCTAAATCCAGCCTGTGCCAGGTTTAGGTGGTGGGTGGGCTCCAGTCTCATCTTTGCAGTGAGCTGGAATAGACAGAAGCAGCTCCCGAATACAGTCTAAAAGTGGATTTTAAAGAAAGGGCTCTGTACCTTGAGAACATCTGGCGAAGCGTTCTCCTCCGGGCCTGTGTGCAGCTGGAGGTGCCCTGGCTCGCCTCCTTCCCTGTCCGCACGCCGGGCGGGTTTGGGGTGCACCCTGGGCTGTGTTTCTGTGAGCGTCCAGACTGTTGCCACTATCTGGGAGGAGGAAGAGCTGCTCTTCTCTTTTGATTATCTTAATGCTTGTGGTCTGCAGAAAAGCCGACTTCTGATCAGCACGAGTGGTTGCTAAACAAAAGTCAACCCAAATTGCCAAGCCACTGACTCTAAGGCCAGAAGCAGACATTTGCTGTATCTCAGTAGGAGGTATTTCGGTTATTCTGCAAAGGAGCTTTGATTTTCTTTGGCAAATACAAATAACCTGTGACGAAACGGAGAGTGTCCCCCTTTAGAAGTCGGAAGGGCACGTGCATTTTCATTGTTTGGGGAGTCACTCCCTGCAGACTGCTAGCATAAAGGATTTTGGCTGAAATGCACGCAGTTTCTCAAGCCAGTGCCTTCTCTGTTCTCCAGATGGACTTTCTGGCCGAGACCAGCCAGTGGAGCTGCTGAATCCTGCCCGCGTGAACCACATGCCCAGCACGGGTAAGTCTGCCCGCCCCTGCCCCGTCCCTCTGGCCCTGCGCAGAACCAAAGAGGCGTTCAGAGGCTCTAGCTTATTGGAGGACTATGGAGGAGGTGAGTGGGGAGGTGTGGGTTTTCAGGTTCACTGAATTTGGGTGCTCTTCCCTGTGGTGAAAGAGGCCATACTTTTTGGAAATGGAATGGCTCCATGCCTTGTAAGTGACAGAGAAATGCTGATTGTTTGTTTTTCTTCTCTCTGGTGCTAAAGGTTGTGTTTTTCCCAAAGGCACCAGCTGCTTGCTTTAGGTGTAAACCTTGGCCCTGATCCCCGCAAGGGCCTGTGGGAGAAAGCGCTGAGCTTGCAGTGGGCCGGGCTGGGTCGCACTAGCCGCAGGACCATGGGCAGACCACACCTTGCCTGTGGCCACCAGCTTTTGTTGGTTAAATGAGTTGGTGACATCATCTGTCTTCCAAGTACCTTGCAGTTATTTAACAAAAAAAGCGTCAATGGTGATCAGAAATATTTCATTCCATAGGTAATTTTTATTTATTTATGTATTTGTTTATTTTGAGACAGAGTCTCACTCTGTCACCGAGGTTGGAGTGCCGTGGCACGATCTCGGCTCACTGCAACCTCCATCTCCTAGGTTCAAGCAGGTGTCCTACCTCTGCCTCCCAAGTAGCTGGGATTACAGAGGTGCGCCACCACACCCAGCTAACTTTTGTATTTTTAGTAGAGACAAGGTTTCACTATATTGGCCAGGCTGGTCTTGAACTCCTGACCTCAAGTGATCTGCCCTCCTCGACTTCCCAAAGTGTTGAGATTACAGGCTTGAGCCACCTCGCTCAGCCTCATAGATAACATTTTAAAGTGCTCCAAGTCTATAGGCCAAGGAAACAGATTTTTTTTCTCCTTTTCTTTTTCTGTAAAACCCCTGTTTCCATGTAGAATCCTCCAGGGTTGAAACTTCTTTTGAGGGTACCATTCTTCCCAGCCATGCCGCCTCCCCTAGAATAAAATCTGAACCTCCTGAAGGCATGGGGCTGAGGGAAATGGTGTCCCGTTCCACACACGTCCTGCAGGGCAGCGTGGCCGGGCCTTGCGGGGACTGTGCCCTGAAGCCTGAGTCTCTGGTCTTGGCTCTGCTGTGCCCTCCTTGACAGGCAGGCAGCCCTTGCTGCCACCTGTACCACCTGCACCCTCTGGTGCCCCAGTGAGACCCACCCATCACTCCTGAAAAGAAGTTGAAGCCAGCTGAAGCCAGGCTGGGCATTTCCAAGAAGAGATGTCCTTCTTTACCTTGTGATTCTCCCAGGTTGGCCAGGTTTTCTGTCATTTTCTAAACCCGGAGTTCCGGAGGTGTCTTTGCCCTGCTTCCAGAAGGCTCTCTGTGTTTGTGGGGTACGGTGCCCTGGCCTCTTGGGAGATGCTCAGGGGGGCTCCTTTCTGCCTGCTTTCACACCTTGATTTTATTCTGCATTATTACTGGTCAGGCAGCTTGTTTTTCACCCCAGCACACTGGGGTTTGGGGGAGCGGCGGGGAGCTTTACACACCACATGAAGATGCAGTTTTAAAATTCTGGCTTGTGTCAGCAGTTTCAGTTTTCACTTTGCTGGTGTTGTTTCCGTGTAAACGCTGACTTCTGTAGCTGGGCGTTTTTGAGACAACTTGCTCGTGCTCAGCCAGGCATGGCACAAGGGTAACAGGGTTTTTTGGTAGCTTGATGGGCTGGGAAAAGACGGTAAATCTGCAGTTTCCAATTGATCTGAACAAAGCGGGCTTCAGGTTAACCTTGGGAAGTGCACCCTGCCTGTGTAGACCTGGCATGGGATCCTGGCTCGGGATGAGGGCAGACTGGGCCTTCAGCCTCCCACAAAGGGGACCTGGGGCCTGCCCACGTGGCCGGCTTGCTGTGGGAGCACGGGTGAGTTGATGAGCAGCTCGGTTTTGTTTTCTCATTTCTTAGCCAGGGATGATAATGCCTCTCTTCAGAGTTCTTATAAAGATGAAAAATAGGTGTCAGCTTTTTAGAAGTTCCTCAATAAATGTCATCTCAGTATCCGTTGACTGGTACTGATGAATGCCCGTGATGTCGCCTTTACATGCCAGTTCAAGGCCTGGGCCTCTCCTGCAGCCTGTCACCCTCATTCTCTTCTTTTGGGGCGAGCCACCCCACTTGAGAGGTGGCATGTGGGGGATGCTATCCCATGAGTCTGATGCTGGCTGTTTTCCTTCCTTGTAACCAGGTTCCAAATTGGTCGAAGACAGTGCTGGACCTCCTGGCATTTACTGCAGATTTGTGCACGGGTTGGTGGGCGTGGTGGGAGTGTTTGCAGAGCAATTTTAAATAACATAGCAGCGGTGCCCAGGAACAGTGGGCAGAGAAAGGGTGCGTGCACCTGCAGCAGTCCCGTGTGACACGGGTCACAGCCTGCACACCAGCCTGTGCCTTAGAAGCCTCTCGTGTGAAGCCTGCTCTTGTAGACTGCATTCTGGTCATTTCAACCCACTGTAAAATACTACAAAGAAATATTAATCTCAGGTTAGGTGATAATTTGAAAATGGATAGGAAATTGTCTTCAGAGCCACATTTTTATGATATGGGAGTAGAAACATTTTTAGGTGTATTTTTATGTCAATCTCAAATTGCTGTTATGATTAAATTTAATCTTAACTATTCTTTTGACATTTGAAGCTGTGGAAACACAAACACACACACACACACACACACACACACACACACACACACACACAAATATATGTATATAAAATTGTCAGGAATGACACCAGCATTTGCCGTGAGTGCTGGCTCCCTTTGAACAGATGAGCATGCACTCGGGGCGGGAAGGGTCCTCGGGCGGCCGCCCACGGTTGATCTGTCCCATTTCCTGACCATTCCCTCGTGTGGGTGGTCTCTCATTCAACACAGCCTTTTTCTGATCCTGGCTCTTATTCAGTACACTTAGCCCTAGTAAATTCCCACTTCCAACAGAAAAGCACTATTCCTACCACGGACTTGTGTGCCATTTAAGTTGAGATTTTAGAAGCGTCAGGTGAGCAGATCACGTCTTTGGGAAAGTCTGTACAGGTTGAGCATCTCTTCTCAGAATTGCTTGGAAGTGGATGTGTTTTGGATGTTGGATCTTTTCGAAATTTGGAATATTTGCATTATACTTACTGGTTGAGCATCCTAAGTCTAAAAATTCAAAATCAGAAATGCTGACAATGAGCATTGCCTTTGAGTGCCACCATGAAGAAGTCTGGGATTTGGAGGCATTTTGGGTGTTGGTTTTGGGTTTGGGATATTGTCACCTGTGCTGGAGGAAGAAAAGGCCAAAATACCTTTTGTCCTAGATCAACTTTGATTTCTTCAACTTCTCTCATGACTTTTTATCTGTAGACTTTGCTTCTTTTTCTTTTTCTTTTTAAATGTTAGTTGTGAAGTAGCTCTGTCATAAAAGAAAGCATAGCCGTTTGCCTGCCACTGAGATGTAACAGCCGTGGCGTTGGTACGACTCCATCTTTGCCTCCTATTTATGCTTTGGGTAGCTGGACTGCCAGAGTAGTGGGCGCGGCGTGCTCTTCCCCTGTCCTGCCAGCTGTTGCTCGCTTGGTGAAGGGAGGGCCACCCTTGGAGAGGACTTGGCACAGAGGCAGAGCCCAGGCGGAGACGTGGTGGCAGGAGCTGATGACCCCCGGTTCTCTCCCAGAGCCTTGTGTTTTCCCATGGATTCAGCAAGCAGAGTCACTGCTCAGAGTTAGGCTGGGGAGGAGCTAGCGAGGACAGAGGAGAAGGTATGGGATCCGTCAGCCAGGAGAGCAGCAGAACGTCAGACGGGGTCACAAACCCACTGACCGAGGGCGGAATCGTGGTGAGCTTAAAAACTCTTAAACTCAGTCATTCGCTTCGGAATCACTGTAATATGTGCGTAGGTATTAGAGCGGACTCCCCCCTCCCTGCCTATAAAAGCAGTGCAGGTTCATTATAGAAAAAGTGACATGCACCAAAGTGCTAGGTGTTGGCTTCCGGGGCTGGAGGGTGAGCGGGCTCTGCCCCCCACCCCACCCCCCCAGGCCTTGCAGGTGCTCAGCAACCCCCATCGTGGAGAGAGGGGTTCGGGGAGGAGGCCTCAGGCATCCAGGAACAAACTGGAAGCCAACAAGAAACCTCAGTAACAACAGGAAGTGTGGACGAAGGACTTCCCGTCAACCAGATGCCATGCCGAGGGCTTCCAGCCCCCACGGCCCTGCTCGCCACAGCGACCGGGCGCCCTGGCTCCTGGACCCACTCCTGCTCCTGCAGAAGGAAAGCCAGAGCCTCGGATTGAATCCCGTGGCTGCTGTCCCAGCGTCAGTCAGCATGTGCATTACAGGACAGACACGTGTCTGCCCCGAGGACTGCGCTACTGGGAGAAGGACAGCCTCAGAAGGTGTCATGCCCTTCATCACCAAAAGGGGACGTGGAGGCCGGTGTTAAGGATGGAACACTGGACTAAAGAGATGCATGCTCCACGGTTTCTCAGGCATACAGAGGACCCGTGACCCTGTGTATCTGTCAGAGTTACAGAGGATTCTTTTTAAGGCTATACTTCAAAAGCACCATTTTTAAAAGAAAATTCTGGAACCGTAAAGGGGATTACCTAGTAACTGTAGAGAAACTCTCCAAAATAACGCAAAATTCCTGCTTGGCTTCAGTGTCAGACTCCCAAATCTAAGGGGTGTTCGGCCACCCCTCTGTGGCAGGGGCTGCTGAGTTCCGGACACTGCCCTTTCATTTGGAGCAGGCAGTGTTTTAGGCTGGCAGGTGCCTGGAGCTCGTGCTGCCTCCTGGATGTGTTTTGTGGAGGTTGTCGCGGTGTTTTGTTTGGTGAGAAGAAAGCGGCAAGCGTGCGTGACCTCGGGGGAAGCTTCCAGAGTCTCCCTATATTGGCACTCCCTGTATTGTTAATTACCTTCGGACACGGAGCCCGCAGTAACAGAGTCCTTGGTTGTAATATTCTTACATGGTGCCCCTTTGTG